GGTGGTGATGGTGATGATGGTGGTGATGGTGGTGGTGATGGTGGTGGTGGTGATGGTGATGGTTGTCATGGTGGTGGTGGTGATGGTTGTCATGGTGATGATGGTAGCAGGTGATGGTGGTGATGTTGATGATGGTGGTGGTGGTGATGGTGATGATGGTGATGTTGATGTTGATGATGGTGATGTTGATGATGGTGATGTTGATGATGGTAGGTGATGTTGATGATGGTAGGTGATGATGATGTTGATGATGGTGATGTTGATGATGGTGATGGTGATGTTGATGTTGATGGTGGTGATGGTGATGTTGATGATGGTGATGTTGATGATGGTAGGGGATGTTGATGATGGTGATGATGATGTTGATGATGGTGATGATGATGTTGATGATGGTGATGTTGATGGTGGTGATGGTGATGTTGATGATGTTGATGATGATGGTGATGTTGATGGTGATGTTGATGATGTTGATGATGATGGTGATGTTGATGATGATGGTGATGTTGATGGTGATGTTGATGATGTTGATGATGATGGTGATGTTGATGGTGATGATGTTGATGATGATGGTGATGTTGATGGTGATGTTGATGATGTTGATGATGATGGTGATGTTGATGATGATGGTGATGTTGATGGTGATGTTGATGATGTTGATGATGATGGTGATGTTGATGATGGTGATGTTGGTGATGGTGATGTTGATGTTGGTGATGTTGATGATGATGTTGATGATGATGGTGATGTTGATGATGGTGATGTTGATGATGATGGTGATGTTGATGGTGATGTTGATGATGATGGTGATGTTGATGATGGTGATGTTGATGATGGTGATGTTGATGGTGATGTTACCCAGCGTGAAAGGATCCCAGCCCCCGCTCCGGATCCAAGAATCCCAGATCCGGGTTTTCCAAATCGCCGGATGCGGATTCTCCTGCAGGGAACAACGCAGGCATCTGATTGGACGAAATCCACGGGGCGGTGGTGGTGGGGTTCACAACGCGGGCGTCTGATTGGACGGAATCTACGGGGTGGTGGTGGTGGGGTTCACAACGCGGGCGTCTGATTGGACGGAATCTACGGGGTGGTGGTGGTGGGGGTCACAACGCGGGCGTCTGATTGGACGGAATCTACGGGGCGGTGGTGGTGGGGGTCACAACGGCCGGGTCAGTTTAATCCAGTGGTGGAATAATTTGGTGGACTACTCAGTGTGGTGGTGGACTACTCCCCTAGTGGTGGTGGACTCCTCAGTGTGGTGGTGGACTACTCAGTGTGGTGGTGGACTACTCCCCTAGTGGTGGACTACTCAGTGTGGTGGTGGACTCCTCAGTGTGGTGGTGGACTCCTCAGTGTGGTGGACTCCTCAGTGTGGTGGTGGACTACTCAGTGTGGTGGTGGACTACTCAGTGTGGTGGTGGACTACTCAGTGTGGTGGTGGACTCCTCAGTGTGGTGGTGGACTACTCAGTGTGGTGGTGGACTACTCAGTGTGGTGGTGGACTCCTCAGTGTGGTGGTGGACTCCTCAGTGTGGTGGACTACTCAGTGTGGTGGTGGACTACTCAGTGTGGTGGTGGACTCCTCAGTGTGGTGGACTACTCAGTGTGGTGGTGGACTACTCAGTGTGGTGGTGGACTACTCAGTGTGGTGGTGGACTACTCCCCTAGTGGTGGTGGACTCCTCAGTGTGGTGGTGGACTACTCAGTGTGGTGGTGGACTACTCAGTGTGGTGGTGGACTACTCAGTGTGGTGGTGGACTACTCCCCTGGTGGTGGACTCCTCAGTGTGGTGGACTCCTCAGTGTGGTGGCGGACTCCTCAGTGTGGTGGTGGACTACTCAGTGTGGTGGTGGACTACTCAGTGTGGTGGACTACTCACCCTGGTGGTGGACTACTCCCCCTGGTGGTGGACTACTCAGTGTGGTGGACTACTCCCCTGGTGGTGGACTACTCCCCTAGTGGTGGACTACTCAGTGTGGTGGTGGACTACTCAGTGTGGTGGTGGACTACTCCCCCTGGTGGTGGACTACTCAGTGTGGTGGCGGACTCCTCAGTGTGGTGGTGGACTACTCAGTGTGGTGGTGGACTACTCACCCTGGTGGTGGACTACTCCCCCTGGTGGTGGACTACTCAGTGTGGTGGACTACTCCCCTGGTGGTGGACTACTCCCCTAGTGGTGGTGGACTACTCAGTGTGGTGGTGGACTACTCAGTGTGGTGGTGGACTACTCAGTGTGGTGGTGGACTACTCATGGTGGTGGACTCCTCAGTGTGGTGGTGGACTCCTCAGTGTGGTGGTGGACTACTCAGTGTGGTGGACTACTCCCCTGGTGGTGGACTCCTCAGTGTGGTGGACTCCTCAGTGTGGTGGTGGACTCCTCAGTGTGGTGGTGGACTACTCAGTGTGGTGGTGGACTACTCCCCCTGGTGGTGGACTCCTCAGTGTGGTGGTGGACTACTCCCATGGTGGTGGACTACTCCCCCTGGTGGTGGACTACTCAGTGTGGTGGACTACTCCCCTGGTGATGGACTACTCCCCCTGGTGGTGGACTACTCAGTGTGGTGGTGGACTACTCCCCCTGGTGGTGGACTACTCAGTGTGGTGGTGGACTACTCAGTGTGGTGGTGGACTACTCCCCTAGTGGTGGTGGACTACTCACCCTGGTGGTGGACTACTCACCCTGGTGGTGGACTACTCACCCTGGTGGTGGACTCCTCAGTGTGGTGGTGGACTACTCCCATGGTGGTGGACTACTCAGTGTGGTGGACTACTCCCCTGGTGGTGGACTACTCAGTGTGGTGGTGGACTACTCAGTGTGGTGGTGGACTACTCAGTGTGGTGGTGGACTACTCAGTGTGGTGGACTACTCCCCTAGTGGTGGACTACTCAGTGTGGTGGTGGACTACTCCCCTGGTGGTGGACTACTCAGTGTGGTGGACTACTCAGTGTGGTGGTGGACTACTCACCCTGGTGGTGGACTACTCACCCTGGTGGTGGACTCCTCAGTGTGGTGGTGGACTACTCCCATGGTGGTGGACTACTCAGTGTGGTGGACTACTCCCCTGGTGGTGGACTACTCAGTGTGGTGGTGGACTACTCAGTGTGGTGGTGGACTACTCAGTGTGGTGGTGGACTACTCAGTGTGGTGATCTACTCCCCTAGTGGTGGACTACTCAGTGTGGTGGTGGACTACTCAGTGTGGTGGTGGACTACTCCCCTGGTGGTGGACTCCTCAGTGTGGTGGTGGACTACTCAGTGTAGTGGTGGACTACTCCCCCTGGTGGTGGACTACTCAGTGTGTTGGACTACTCCCCTGGTGGTGGACTACTCAGTGTGGTGGTGGACTACTCAGTGTGGTGGTGGACTACTCCCCTAGTGGTGGACTCCTCAGTGTGGTGGTGGACTACTCAGTGTGGTGGTGGACTACTCCCCTAGTGGTGGACTACTCAGTGTGGTGGACTACTCCCCTAGTGGTGGACTACTCCCCTGGTGGTGGACTACTCCCCTAGTGGTGGACTACTCCCCTGGTGGTGGACTACTCCCCTAGTGGTGGTGGACTCCTCAGTGTGGTGGTGGACTACTCCCCCTGGTGGTGGACTCCTCAGTGTGGTGGTGGACTACTCAGTGTGGTGGTGGACTACTCCCCCTGGTGGTGGACTCCTCAGTTTGGTGGTGGACTACTCCTCCTGGTGGTGGACTACTCCCCCTGGTGGTGGACTACTCCTCCTGGTGGTGGACTACTCACCTGATGGGTGTCGTTTCTTGCGATGATGTCCCTGGCTGTGATGACGTCTCCGGCCCTGAGGCCTCTCCACCCTCTCCACCCTCTCCACCTCCTCCTCCTCAAAGTCGTCCTCTCCTCGCCTCTGCCTCCTCCTTTCAACCATCACCTCCTCCTCCACCTCCTCCTCCTGCAACACCTCCACCACCTCCACAGCGTCCACCACACCCACAGCGTCCACAGCCTCCACCACCTCCACCGCCTCCACCACACCCACAGCGTCCACCACCTCCACCGCCTCCACCACCCCCACAGCGTCCACCACCCCCACAGCGTCCACCACCCCCACAGCGTCCACCACCCCCACAGCGTCCACCGCCCTGGGTTTGAAGATGACTGTGGCCGACAGCCTCATGCCACCAGTCCTCTGGGCAATCTCCTCCGCCACTGTGCGGCCCTCCGTGGCCGCCGGGACCTCCTCCGTGGCTGGGACCTCCGTGGCCAGGACCTCCGTGGCTGGGACCTCCGTAGCTGGGACCTCCGTGGCCGCCGGGACCTCCTCCGTGGCTGGGACCACCTCCGTGGCTGGGACCTCCGTGGCCGCCGGGACCTCCTCCGTGGCTGGGACCACCTCCGTGGCTGGGACCTCCGTGGCCGCCGGGACCTCCTCCGTGGCTGGGACCTCCGTGGCCAGGACCTCCATGGCTGGGACGTCCGTGGCCGCCGGGACCCCCTCCGTGGCCGCCGGGACCTCCGTGGCCGCCGGGACCTCCGTGGCCGGGACCTCCGTGGCCAGGACCTCCGTGGCCAGGACCTCCGTGGCCAGGACCTCCGTGGCCAGGACCTCCTCCGTGGCCGTGCCCCCGTGGCTACCCACAAGCCCCTGCAGTGGTGGCGGCGCTGTCAAAGATGGCGTCGCTTGCCGACAGAGCCTTGCGATGGATGAGCACGGTGGGGTCAGAGGGTGGCCGATGGTGGTGGCGGTGGTGGCGGTGGTGGCGGTGATGATGGCAGAGCCACCACCACCTCGTCTGTCACCGTCGAAGTCACCACCAACACCACCACCACCAACACCACCACCAACACCACCAACACCACCACCAACACCACCAACACCACCAACACCACCACCAACACCACCACCACGACCACGAACACCACCGTCACCACCACCAACACCACGACCACGTCTACCACCACCACCACCACCACCACGAACACAAACACCACCGTCACCACCACCGCCACCACCACGAACACCACCACAACCACCACGAACACCACCACCAACACCACCAACACCAACACCACCACCAACACCAACACCACCACCAACACCACCACCACCACCAACACCACCACCACGACCACGAACACCACCGTCACCACCACAACCACCACGAACACCACCACCAACACCACCAACACCAACACCACCACCACCACCACCACCACCGTCACCACCGCCACCACCGTCCAGGTCATCGATGGCAAAGAGGCTCTCATCCCCTTGCTCCCTCTGCCACTCGGCGTCGTCAAGGCCCTGGTGGTGGCCCTGGTGGTGGCCCCGCTGGTGGCCCTGCTGGTGGCCCTGCTGGTGGCCTCGCTGGTGGCGGTGATCGTGGTGATGGTGCCGGAGAAGCAGCGCGGAGATTCTCGGACACTGCGCTGACGCCACGGTGGTGGTGCCGGTGCCGGTGCCGGTGCCGGTGATGGAGCTGCCCACGGTGGTGGTGCCGGTGCCGGTGCCGATGATGGAGCTACCCACAATGCCGAGCGAGCCGCCCACAACGCCGAGCGAGCCGCCGCCGGCCCCGGCCGCGGCGAGGCCCCGGGCCGGCGACTCCCGGCGGCTGCCGGGGGGAGACAGCAGCGTGGACATTTGCGTGCCGGCCTGCTGCACCAGGCTGTGCAGCTCGGCCAGCTCCTGCTCGTCAAACTGCATGGAGCACGCAAGCTCCATCGTGGCGCCGGCCTCCTCCTCCTCCTCCTCCTCCTCCTCCACCTCCTCATCCTCCTCATCCTCCTCCACCTCCTCGTCCTCCACCTCCTCGTCCTCCTCCGCCATCGATGGCGGTGCCGTCGACGCAGAGGGCGGCGGCGGCCGCGGCCGCGGCCAAGCGGACGATGCGGGAGGCACGGACGAGGAGGAGGACGAGGAGGAGGAGGAGGAGGACGAGGAGGAGGAGGTCGGAGGGACGAGGAGCGACCCTCCGGGAGGAGCTGCTGCTGCTGCCGAGGTGGACGAGGCGACGGACGAGGCGGCGGGCAGCAGCTCCGAATCGAGGGTGACACAGAGGCTCCGCTCCAGGGTGGACAACTCGTCGGGAGTGAGGGTCCTGAGCAGGTCGCTGGGAGAAGGGTGGCAGGCGGTTAACGTCGTCATCAACGTCGTCATCAACGTCATCGTCAACGTCGTCATCATCAACGTCATCAACGTCATCATCAACGTCATCAACGTCATCAACGTTATCAACGTCATCATCAACGTCATCATCAACGTCAACGTCATCAACGTCATCATCGTCATCATCGTCATCGTCATCAACATCATCAACGTCATCCTCAACATCATCATCCTCAACGTCATCATCAACGTCGTCATCAACATCATCAACGTCATCATCAACGTCATCATCAACGTCGTCGTCGTCAACGTCGTCATGGTGATGGAAAGAGGTGGTGGGAAGAGGAGGCGATGGTGACCATCAACATCGTCATCACCTTCATTCGTCGTTAGCGACATCGTCATCCTCGTGGTGACGGTGCGGAGAGAAGAGCACACACACATCAACACCACAACAACCATCACCACAACCACCACCACCACAACCACCACCACAACAACCATCACCACCACCACCACCGTTACCATCACCACCGTTACCGTCACCACCATCCTCACCACCACCACCACCACAACCATCATCACCACCACCAACATCACCACCACCATCACCACCACAACCACCACCACCACCACAACCATCACCACCACCACAACCATCACCACCACCACCACAACCACCACCACCACCACAAGCATCACCACCACCATCACCACCACCGTCACCACCACCGTCACCACCACCGTCACCACCACCGTCACCACCGTCACCACCATCGTCACCACCACCATCGTCACCACCGCCATCGTCACCACCACCATCATCACCATCACCGCCATCGTCACCACCTTCACCACCACCACCGTCACCACCACCACCACCGTCACCACCGTCACCACCACCACCACCATCACCACCGTCACCACCGTCACCACCACCACCGTCACCACCACCATCACCACCATCACCACCACCATCACCACCGTCACCACCACCACCACCATCACCACCACCATCATCACCACCACCATCACCGTCACCACCACCACCACCACCACCACCACCGTCACCACCACCACCATCGTTACCGTCACCACCATCGTCACCACCACCGTCACCACCACCACCATCACCACCACCACCGTCACCACCACCACCACCACCGTCACCACCACCACCACCTCGTGCTCCGCCTGCCACCAGCTGCTGCTGCCGTGCCAGTGGGCTCACCGGATCTTGACGAGGAGAGAGTGGAATGGGCGGAAGAGGTTGGACATCTCGTCGGGACGCCGCTCCTGGTTCAAGGGCCCCTCCGGGAAGATCAGCAGCCCGCTGGTCACGCGGACACACACACACAGTGTACACACACACAGTGTACACACACAGTGTACACACACACAGTGTACACACACACACACAGTGTACACACACACAGTGTACACACACACAGTGTACACACACACAGTGTACACACACAGTGTACACACACACAGTGTACACACACACAGTGTACACACACACAGTGTACACACACACACACACAGTGTACACACACAGTGTACACACACAGTGTACACACACACACACAGTGTACACACACACACACAGTGTACACACACACACAGTGTACACACACACACACACAGTGTACACACACACAGTGTACACACACACAGTGTACACACACACACAGTGTACACACACACAGTGTACACACACAGTGTACACACACACACACACAGTGTACACACACACACAGTGTACACACACACACACACAGGGTACACACACACACAGTGTACACACACACACAGTGTACACACACACACACAGTGTACACACACACACAGTGAACACACACACACACACAGTGTACACAGTGAGTGGGTGAGAGAGTGGGTGAGTGAATGAGTGAGTGGGTGAGAGTGAGTGGGTGAGAGAGTGAGTGAGTGGGTGGGTGGTTGAGTGAGTGAGTGGGTGAGTGGTTGAGTGAGTGGGTGAGAGAGTGAGTGAGTGTGTTGAGTGAGTGGGTGAAAGAGTGAGTGAGTGTGTTGAGTGAGTGGGTGAGAGTGTGGGTGAGGGATGAGTGAGTGGGTGAGAGAGTGAGTGAGTGAGTGAGTGGTTGAGTGAGGGGGTGAGAGAGTGAGGGGGTGAGAGAGTGAGTGAGTGGGTGAGTGAGTGAGTGTGTTGAGTGAGTGGGTGAGTGAGTGAGTGTGTTGAGCGAGTGGGTGAGTGGTTGAGTGAGTCGGTGAGTGAGTGAGTGGGTGAGAGAATGAGTGAGTCGGTGGGTGAGTGAGTGGGTGAGTGAGTGGGTGAGTGGTTGAGTGAGTGGGTGAGAGTGTGGGTGAGAGCGTGAGTGAGTGGGTGAGAGAGTGAGTGAGTGGTTGAGTGAGGGGGTGAGAGAGTGAGGGGGTGAGATAGTGAGTGAGTGGGTGAGTGAGTGAGTGTGTTGAGTGAGTGGGTGAGTGAGTGATTGAGTGAGTGGTTGAGTGAGTGGGTGAGTGAGTGAGTGGGTGGTTGAGTGAGTGGGTGAGAGAGTGAGTGAGTGTGTTGAGTGAGTGGGTGAAAGAGTGAGTGAGTGTGTTGAGTGAGTGGGTGAGAGTGTGGGTGAGGGATGAGTGAGTGGGTGAGAGAGTGAGTGAGTGAGTGGTTGAGTGAGGGGGTGAGAGAGTGAGGGGGTGAGAGAGTGAGTGGGTGAGTGAGTGAGTGTGTTGAGTGAGTGGGTGAGTGAGTGAGTGTGTTGAGCGAGTGGGTGAGTGGTTGAGTGAGTCGGTGAGTGAGTGAGTGGGTGAGAGAATGAGTGAGTCGGTGGGTGAGTGAGTGGGTGAGTGAGTGGGTGAGTGGTTGAGTGAGTGGGTGAGAGTGTGGGTGAGAGCGTGAGTGAGTGGGTGAGAGAGTGAGTGAGTGGTTGAGTGAGGGGGTGAGAGAGTGAGGGGGTGAGATAGTGAGTGAGTGGGTGAGTGAGTGAGTGTGTTGAGTGAGTGGGTGAGTGAGTGATTGAGTGAGTGGTTGAGTGAGTGGGTGAGTGAGTGAGTGGGTGGTTGAGTGAGTGGGTGAGAGAGTGAGTGAGTGGGTGAGTGAGTGGTTGAGTGAGTGGTTGAGTGAGTGGGTGAGTGAGTGAGTGGGTGGTTGAGTGAGTGGGTGAGAGAGTGAGTGAGTGGGTGAGTGAGTGGTTGAGTGAGGGGGTGAGAGAGTGAGTGAGTGGTTGAGTGAGTGGGTGAGAGAGTGAGTGGGTGAGAGAGTGAGTGAGTGGGTGGTTGAGTGAGGGGGTGAGAGAGTGAGTGAGTGAGTGGTTGTGTGAGTGGTTGAGTGAGAGACTGAGTGAGTGAGTGGGTGAGTGAGTTGGTGAGTGAGTGAGTGGTTGAGTGAGAGACTGAGTGAGTGAGTGAGTGGTTGAGTGAGAGACTGAGTGAGTGAGTGGTTGAGTGAGTGGGTGAGTGAGTGGTTGAGTGAGAGACTGAGTGAGTGAGTGGTTGAGCCTTTAACATACTGGTTGGAGCATGTGGTGATGGAGGTGACGGTGATGGGGGGGAGGAGGAGGAGTAGGAGGAGGTGTAGGAGGAGGTGACGGTGGTGGGAGTAGGAGGAGGTGATGGGAGTAGGAGGAGGTGATGGGAGGAGTAGGAGGAGGTGTAGGAGGAGGTGATGGGAGGAGGAGGTGACGGTGATGGGAGTAGGAGGAGGTGTAGGAGGAGGTGATGGGAGGAGGAGGAGGTCTAGGAGGAGGAGGTGATGGGAGTAGGAGGAGGTGATGGGAGGAGTAGGAGGAGGTGTAGGATGAGGTGATGGGAGGAGGAGGTGACGGTGATGGGAGTAGGAGGAGGAGGAGGTGTAGGATGAGGTGATGGGAGGAGGAGGTGACGGTGATGGGAGTAGGAGGAGGAGGAGGTGTAGGAGGAGGTGACGGTGGTGGTGCAAGCGTTGACGCACCAGACGATGGCAAGGCGTGGGATTGTGAACATGAGCGCCGGCTCATAATCATCGATGGCCTCCTGGGTGAGGTAGCCCAGCGCGAGGGCCCTGCCACGCACAGACAAAGGTCCCCCAGGTAGCGTCACACGCGGGCTGCAAGGGGCAAGTGCTGTTAGTAGCGAGCAGCAGCAGCAGCAGCTGTGAAGGCCACGGAAATGAGTCTATGGGTCTCTGTGTGGTGGTAGTGAGTCTATGGGTCTCTGTGTGGTGGTGATGAGTCTATGGGTCTCTGTGTGGCAGTGATGAGTCTATGGGTCTCTGTGTGGTGGTGGTGAGTCTATGGGTCTCTGTGTGGTGGTGGTGAGTCTATGGGTCTCTGTGTGGTGGTGATGAGTCTATGGGTCTCTGTGTGGCAGTGATGAGTCTATGGGTCTCTGTGTGGTGGTGATGAGTCTATGGGTCTCTGTGTGATGAGTCTATGGGTCTCTGTGTGGTGGTGAGTCTATGAGTCTCTGTGTGGTGGTGGTGAGTCTATGGGTCTCTTTGTGGTGGTGGTGAGTCTATGGGTCTCTGTGTGGTGGTGATGAGTCTAAGGGTCTCTGTGTGGTGGTGGTGAGTCTATGGGTCTCTGTGTGGTGGTGATGAGTCTATGGGTCTCTGTGTGGTGGTGGTGAGTCTATGGGTCTCTGTGTGGTGGTGGTGAGTCTATGGGTCTCTGTGTGGTGGTGATGAGTCTATGGGTCTCTGTGTGGTGGTGGTGAGTCTATGGGTCTCTGTGTGGTGGTGATGAGTCTATGGGTCTCTGTGTGGTGGTGGTGGTGGTGGTGGTGAGTCTATGGGTCTCTGTGTGGTGGTGGTGAGTCTATGGGTCTCTGTGTGGTGGTGGTGAGTCTATGGGTCTCTGTGTGGTGGTGGTGGTGAGTCTATGTGTCTCTGTGTGGTGGTGATGAGTGTGAGTCTCTGTGTGGTGGTGATGAGTCTATGGGTCTCTGTGTGGCGAGTCTATGGGTCTCTATGGTGAGTCTATGTGTCTCTGTGTGGTGAGTCTATGGGTCTCTATGTGATGAGTCTATGGGTCTCTATGTGATGAGTCTATGGGTCTCTATGTGGTGAGTCTATGGGTCTCTATGGTGAGTCTATGGGTCTCTATGGTGAGTCTATGTATGGGTCTCTATGGTGAATCTATGGGTCTCTATGGTGAGTCTGTGGGTCTCTGTGTGGTGAGTCTATGGGTCTCTATGGTGAGTATGTGGGTCTCTGTGTGGTGGTGATGAGTCTATGGGTCTCTGTGTGGTGGTGGTGAGTCTATGTGTCTCTGTGTGGTGGTGATGAGTCTATGGGTCTCTGTGTGGTGAGTCTATGGGTCTCTGTGTGGTGGTGATGAGTCTATGGGTCTCTGTGTGGTGGTGATGAGTCTATGGGTCTCTGTGTGGTGGTGGTGGTGAGTCTATGGGTCTGTGTGGTGTTGGTGAGTCTATGGGTCTCTGTGTGGTGGTGATGAGTCTATGGGTATCTGTGTGGTGATGAGTCATGGGTCTCTGTGTGGCGAGTCTATGGTTCTCTATGGTGAGTCTGTGTCTCTGTGTGGCGAGTCTATGGGTCTCTATGGTGAGTCTGTGTGTCTCTATGTGATGAGTCTATGGGTCTCTATGTGGTGAGTCTATGGGTCTCTATGGTGAGTCTATGGGTCTCTATGGTGAGTCTATGTATGGGTCTCTATGGTGAATCTATGGGTCTCTATGGTGAGTCTATGTATGGGTCTCTATGGTGAATCTATGGGTCTCTATGGTGAGTCTGTGGGTCTCTGTGTGGTGAGTCTGTGGGTCTCTATGGTGAGTCTACGGGTGTCTGTGTGGTGAGTCTATGGGTCTCTATGGTGAGTCTATGGGTCTCTGTGTGGTGGTAGTGAGTCTATGGGTCTCTGTGTGGTGGTGATGAGTCTATGGGTCTCTGTGTGGCAGTGATGAGTCTATGGGTCTCTGTGTGGTGGTGGTGAGTCTATGGGTCTCTGTGTGGTGGTGGTGAGTCTATGGGTCTCTGTGTGGTGGTGATGAGTCTATGGGTCTCTGTGTGGCAGTGATGAGTCTATGGGTCTCTGTGTGGTGGTGATGAGTCTATGGGTCTCTGTGTGATGAGTCTATGGGTCTCTGTGTGGTGGTGAGTCTATGAGTCTCTGTGTGGTGGTGGTGAGTCTATGGGTCTCTTTGTGGTGGTGGTGAGTCTATGGGTCTCTGTGTGGTGGTGATGAGTCTAAGGGTCTCTGTGTGGTGGTGGTGAGTCTATGGGTCTCTGTGTGGTGGTGATGAGTCTATGGGTCTCTGTGTGGTGGTGGTGAGTCTATGGGTCTCTGTGTGGTGGTGGTGAGTCTATGGGTCTCTGTGTGGTGGTGATGAGTCTATGGGTCTCTGTGTGGTGGTGGTGAGTCTATGGGTCTCTGTGTGGTGGTGATGAGTCTATGGGTCTCTGTGTGGTGGTGGTGGTGGTGGTGGTGAGTCTATGGGTCTCTGTGTGGTGGTGGTGAGTCTATGGGTCTCTGTGTGGTGGTGGTGAGTCTATGGGTCTCTGTGTGGTGGTGGTGGTGAGTCTATGTGTCTCTGTGTGGTGGTGATGAGTGTGAGTCTCTGTGTGGTGGTGATGAGTCTATGGGTCTCTGTGTGGCGAGTCTATGGGTCTCTATGGTGAGTCTATGTGTCTCTGTGTGGTGAGTCTATGGGTCTCTATGTGATGAGTCTATGGGTCTCTATGTGATGAGTCTATGGGTCTCTATGTGGTGAGTCTATGGGTCTCTATGGTGAGTCTATGGGTCTCTATGGTGAGTCTATGTATGGGTCTCTATGGTGAATCTATGGGTCTCTATGGTGAGTCTGTGGGTCTCTGTGTGGTGAGTCTATGGGTCTCTATGGTGAGTATGTGGGTCTCTGTGTGGTGGTGATGAGTCTATGGGTCTCTGTGTGGTGGTGGTGAGTCTATGTGTCTCTGTGTGGTGGTGATGAGTCTATGGGTCTCTGTGTGGTGAGTCTATGGGTCTCTGTGTGGTGGTGATGAGTCTATGGGTCTCTGTGTGGTGGTGATGAGTCTATGGGTCTCTGTGTGGTGGTGGTGGTGAGTCTATGGGTCTGTGTGGTGTTGGTGAGTCTATGGGTCTCTGTGTGGTGGTGATGAGTCTATGGGTATCTGTGTGGTGATGAGTCATGGGTCTCTGTGTGGCGAGTCTATGGTTCTCTATGGTGAGTCTGTGTCTCTGTGTGGCGAGTCTATGGGTCTCTATGGTGAGTCTGTGTGTCTCTATGTGATGAGTCTATGGGTCTCTATGTGGTGAGTCTATGGGTCTCTATGGTGAGTCTATGGGTCTCTATGGTGAGTCTATGTATGGGTCTCTATGGTGAATCTATGGGTCTCTATGGTGAGTCTATGTATGGGTCTCTATGGTGAATCTATGGGTCTCTATGGTGAGTCTGTGGGTCTCTGTGTGGTGAGTCTGTGGGTCTCTATGGTGAGTCTACGGGTGTCTGTGTGGTGAGTCTATGGGTCTCTATGGTGAGTCTATGGGTCTCTGTGTGGTGAGTCTACGGGTCTCTATGGTGAGTCTACGGGTCTCTATGGTGAGTCTCTGGGTCTCTGTGTGGTGAGTCTATGAGTCTCTATGTGGTGAGTCTATGGGTCTCTATGTGATGAGTCTATGGGTCTCTACGTGATGAGTCTATGGGTCTCTATGGTGAGTCTATGGGTCTCTGTGTGGCGAGTCTATGGGTCTCTATGTACTAAGTCTATGGGTCTCTATGTGATGAGTCTATGGGTCTCTATGTGGTGAGTCTATGGGTCTCTATGGTGAGTCTATGTATGGGTCTCTATGGTGAATCTATGGGTCTCTATGGTGAGTCTGTGGGTCTCTGTGTGGTGAGTCTGTGGGTCTCTATGGTGAGTCTACGGGTGTCTGTGTGGTGAGTCTATGGGTCTCTATGGTGAGTCTATGGGTCTCTGTGTGGTGAGTCTACGGGTCTCTGTGTGGTGAGTCTACGGGTCTCTATGGTGAGTCTACGGGTCTCTGTGTGGTGAGTCTATGAGTCTCTGTATGGTGAGTCTATGAGTCTCTGTGTGGTGAGTCTATGAGTCTCTATGTGGTGAGTCTATGGCTCTCTGTGTGGTGAGTCTATGGGTCTCTACGTGATGAGTCTACGGGTCTCTATGGTGAGTCTATGGCTCTCTGTGTGGTGAGTCTATGGGTCTCTACGTGATGAGTCTATGGGTCTCTATGGTGAGTCTATAGCTCTCTGTGTGGTGAGTCTATGGGTCTCTATGGTGAGTCTACGGGTCTCTATGTGATGAGTCTATGGGTCTCTATGGTGAGTCTATGGCTCTCTGTGTGGTGAGTCTATGGGTCTCTATGTGATGAGTCTATGGGGTCTCTATGGTGAGTCTATGGGTCTCTATGGTGAGTCTACGGGTCTCTGTGATGAGTCTATGGGTCTCTATGGTGAGTCTATGGCTCTCTGTGTGGTGAGTCTATGGTTCTCTACGTGATGAGTCTACGGGTCTCTATGGTGAGTCTATGGCTCTCTGTGTGGTGAGTCTATGGTTCTCTACGTGATGAGTTTATGGGTCTCTATGGTGAGTCTGTGGGTCTCTGTGTGGTGAGTCTGCAGGGCCCCACCTCTGCACAGTCTCAGAGAACAGCACCACCACTTCCTGCTGGACAGCGTACTCCTTAGCCGACTTCACAGGGACCATGGCAGACACATAGCTTGGCAGACGAGACACAGACACAAGACCCCTGTGTAGCAGTAGCAACAGTAGTAGCAGCAGCAGTAGTAGCAGCAGCAACAGTAGTAGCAGTAACAGCAATAGCAGCAGTAGCAGCAGTAGTAGCAACAGTAGTAGCAGCAGCAGTAGCAGTAGTAGCAGCACTAGTAGCAGTAGTAGTAGCAGTAGCAGCAGTAGTGGTGGTAGTAGTAGTGGCAGCAGTAGTGGTAGTAGTAGTAGCAGTAGTAGTAGCAGTAGCAGCAGTAGTAGCAGTAGCAGCAGCAGTAGTAGCAGTAGCAGCAGCAGTAGTAGTAGCAGCAGTAGTAGCAGTAGTAGTAGCAGTAGTAGCAGTAGTAGTAGTAGCAGCAGTAGTAGCAGTAGTAGTAGCAGTAGTAGCAGTAGTAGTAGCAGTAGTAGCAGTAGTAGTAGCAGTAGTAGCAGTAGTAGCAGCAGTAGTAGTAGTAGTAGCAGCAGTAGTAGCAGTAGTAGTAGCAGTAGCAGCAGTAGTGGTGGTAGTAGTAGTGGCAGCAGTAGTGGTAGTAGTAGTAGCAGCAGTATCGGCAGTAGTAGCAGTAGTAGTAGCAGTAGTAGTAGCAGCAGTAGTAGCAGTAGTAGCAGCAGTAGTAGCAGCAGTAGCAGCAGTAGTGGTGGTAGTAGTAGTGGCAGCAGTAGTGGTAGTAGTAGTAGCAGCAGTATCGGCAGTAGTAGCAGTAGTAGTAGCAGTAGTAGTAGTAGCAACAGGAGTAGTAGCACTCACCCACCCACCCACCAACCCACTCACCCACCAACCCACTCACCCACCCACCAACCCACTCACCCACCCACCAACCCACTCACCCACCCACCAACCCACTCACCCACCCACCAACCCACTCACCCACCCACCAACCCACTCACCCACCCACCAACCCACTCACCCACCCACCAACCCACTCACCCACCCACCAACCCACTCACCCACCCACCAACCCACTCACCCACCCACCAACCCACTCACCCACCCACCAACCCACTCACCCACCCACCAACCCACTCACCCACCCACCAACCCACTCACCCACCCACCAACCCACTCACCCACCCACCAACCCACTCACCCACCCACCAACCCACTCACCCACCCACCAACCCACTCACCCACCCACCAACCCACTCACCCACCCACCAACCCACTCACCCACCCACCAACCCACTCACCCACCCACCAACCCACTCACCCACCCACCAACCCACTCACCCACCCACCAACCCACTCACCCACCCACCAACCCACTCACCCACCCACCAACCCACTCACCCACCCACCAACCCACTCACCCACCCACCAACCCACTCACCCACTCACCCACCCACCAACCCACTCACCCACCCACTCACCCACCAACCCACCAACCCACTCACCCACCCACCAACCCACCAACCCACCCACCCACCAACCCACCAACCCACTCACCCACCAACCCACTCACCCACCCACCCACCCACCAACCCACTCACCCACCCACCCACTCACCCACCCACCCACCCACCCACCAACCCACTCACCCACCCACCCACCAACCCACTCACCCACCCACCAACCCACTCACCCACCCACCAACCCACTCACCCACCCACCAACCCACTCACCCACCCACCAACCCACTCACCAACCCACTCACCCACCCACCCACTCACCCAGCCACCCACCCACTCACCCACCCACCAACCCACTCACCCACTCACCCACCAACCCACTCACCCACCCATCCACTCACTCACTCACTCACCAACCCACTCACCCACCCACCCACCCACCAACCCACCCACCAACCCACTCACCCACCCACCAACCCACTCACCCACCCACCAACCCACTCACCCACCCACCAACCCACTCACCCACCCACCAACCCACTCACCCACCCACCAACCCACTCACCCATCCACCAACCCACTCACCCACCCACCAACCCACTCACCCACCCACTCACCCACCCACCAACCCACCCACCCACCCACCAACCCACTCACCCACCAACCCACTCACCCACCCACCCACTCACCCACCCACCCACTCACCAACCCACCCACCCACCCGCCAACCCACCCACCTGAGTTCAAACTCCGCGAAAAGTCGGTCGAAGTTTCGCAGTGCCGTGGTGAGCCTCTCCGAGTAGAGCGAGGGGTCTCGCAGGCACTGGTCCCGCACGATGGCACGGGTCTCGTCCAGGCTGCGCGTCAACTCCCGGGCCAGCGGGCGCATGGCCAGCGACTCCACCTCACGGTTCATGATGATGGAGCCGGCCGCCAGGCACTGTGGGTGGTGGTGGTGGTGTTGGTGGTGGGGGGTGGGACAGCGGGTTGGCACAGTAGGAGGGGGCACAGGTGGTGCATCAGCCGGTCATCTCGGTCGGTCGACCCGTGGCACCTGCTGGGGTCTGCCCAGTGACCTCCCTGCCCAGCGGGCGTTCGACGCTTCACGTGATGGCCTCGTGGTGCACATGGCCTGGCACAAGCGTCGTGGTGATGTCACCGCCACTTGGTGGCGAATGGCGGTTGTTGTTGTTGTATTGGCAACAGTAGGGGGGCACAGGTGGTGCATCAGCCAGTCATCTCAGTCAGTCGACCCGTGGCACCTGGGTCTGCCCCGTGACCTCCTGCCGGCGGGCGTTCGACACTTCACGTGATGGCCTCGTGGTGCACATGGCCTGGCACAAGCGTCGTGGTGATGTCACCGCCACTTGGTGGCGAATGGCGGTTGTTGTTGTTGTATTGGCAACAGTAGGGGGCACAGGTG